GGGAAAAATCTTTCCTTTCTCTCTTTTTTTTTTTTTTCCGATTCTTCTACCATTACTTTTATACTTTTAAACTAATTCTTCTTTTTTTATGGTTTCATCACGGTCTTTCTTTTATTTCAATAAAAATATCTCAAGTGGAATATCGGATAAGAATTAAAGGATCTGCGTGGGAAATCGGATTAAAAAATTTTCCTAATTTTAGACTAAAAATCTTTTATTTATTATTATGGATCTCAATGATGAATAGATTCTTATTGTATTTTCTTTTTAAGGTATTTGCTAGCGCTTGATGATCAACCATGCATGATCTTGATTTGAGCCATCAAGAAAGTATCAATGCTATGTATGACCTGAAACTCTTTTGAATTCCCGGTATAATTTTGTGGGAAGATCCTACAACCACTATTACCATTACTATCACTATCCGAAACCGTAATCTAACCTCTAAATTTTTGCTGAAATTAGATGATCTGTGAAATTAGTTTTAAAATTTAAAGTCGATAATTATAGGATTTTTATTATTATTCAAACGGAAGTATGAGCAATACTCTATGACTTATTTATCATTATCAATCATTGCAAGAAATATTTTCTCTACATCTAAATATCAAGCTCTTATTGTATATGATTTCTCTAATCAATCAAATAAATTCATAAAATTCTTAATCTTTTAATTTTTAAAATTAAAAAAAAAAAATGTTTAAATAAAAATGTAGAAAAGAAATTAGTGGCTTTAATATTCAAATATTCTTACCAATTGAGATCCCAAAATCGGTTTGAAACCAGATTAATTTGAAACTTTTCGAAATTTCACAGATCTAATACTAATGTATATATATTGTGGGGTTGCGATAATTACTTATTTATTTTCTATTTTGAAACAATTTCATTTCGATTAACTTGAATAATTATTGAGCGGGAACAGCTTCTAACCTTCGCTAGAATAACTTTGGGTCCTCGCTTGAAAAAGCAAATGAAAATCAATGCAAATTAATATTCTAATAAAATTTTGTGATAGAATCATTATTTTTATTATAAATTAAAAATCGAACCGTTAGTAAACTTTTAAAAATAAAATTAAAAACATTGTTTTTATTTCTTTATTTAAAAACTTTGATAAAAACAACAAATAAAATACTCCGGTAAAAGGTTTCTTTCTTTAATGAGTTGTTAACTAGTGAGTATTAACAACGATTAGTGAAGTATTGTCCAAAGGTTAGTCGGAAATACTAGCAATGTTATTGTAATCGTAAACATAAAACGGTTAAGCTACTTGATTGTTTGTAAATAAACCCAAATCGGCCAGATAAAGTAAGGTAAACAATAAATCAGTCACAATCGAATAAAAAGAACTTTATAGAAGCCCTTAAGTTTTGTAAAAGAACCATTTTATTTATTTACAGTTATCCAATGTACTTGTAGATTCATCTAGGTACAAAGAAAGAGACAGCAGGCGAGAACCAAAGTAAATTAGTAAACTAATTAATTGACAAGCACTGGATTATTGCGAGTTGCTTGCAATTAACTGACAAGGATAGCTCAAAAGTTAGGCCATACTTGTTAAATAACCGAAATGATACCACCATTAACAAGAATCAGAAACTATTGTAAATAGTTTATCATTTCAAAATATTATTATAATTTAAGAAAATAAAAAGATAAACGAATAAATTTATAGTTAATTAGTCTTTACTATTATCACCAGAATCTAATGTTTAATTAATCAATCAGATAGTATTTTTCAATTAATTAATAATGAAAATTTTATTCATCAACAAGAAAAGAATTAAAATCAAGACTGTTTAATGAACTATCGTTACTTGTATAAATTTTTAAGCTTTTAGACTTAGCAATTTCATCATCCAAGATTCTACTTTTATGATATGCATCTGGATGTGATTTGTGTGTTTGTTGCGAATAACTACTACTACTACTACTGATATTATTATTAAATGTTCTTTCAGTTTTAAAAATTTTATCTAATTTCTCATGAGCAAAATCACAGTTCCTTGGTAGTTGGTCTTTTAGATGGATCCACATCCCAACACTTCTGCATCATTTGCACATAATCACCAGGCATTCCAGGTAATATTGGTGGTCGTAAACCTTCACATATATCAAAGATTAAACGGTGATTGTGAGCTCTATTGTCAAATGGTGGTTGATCTGCAAATATTTCCCACATTAACATTCCAAAGCTATAGATATCTGTTTCTTTTGTATTCTTTACATTAATTTTGCCTCTGAGCAGCTCAGGTGCAACATATGATACAATTCCATAGATTTTATTTGATGATTTTTCATCAACTGGTCCACATAATCCCAAATCTGTAATATAACAATTACCTCCTTGCAATAATATATTACCACTATGTAAATCACAATGGATTAAATCTTTTTGGTGTATATCATCTAATGCATCACATAAATAATAAAAGATTGTAATTCTGTCTTTTAATGTTAAATTTAAATTTTTTTGTAAATAATCCCTTAGATTGCCTTCTGGAGCATAATCTAAAACTATTGCATAGTTTCCATTATTTGGGAATTTAGTTATACCATAGCAAGCAACAATCATTTCTGATTTAATTTTGCAATAATTTATTACCTAAAAATAAATATAAAATCAATTAGCATTATATAATACAGTATTATTTATGTTTGTTTTAAATGGCAGTTACCAACCTCATCAAAAAAGCTTTTTCCTGGGTTACTTGAATCATTTAAACTTTTTAATGCTACCCCATGCCTTCCAAAATAACTAAACTCCTTTTTATTTTCATCATAATCAATAATACTTCCTCTTGTCCATGTGGCAGTATAAATTGAACTAAATCCACCTTCTGTCAACTTTGTTGCTTTTTCAAATTGCTCAAAAGGTATCCATTCCAAAATATATTCTAGCCCAGATGATTTCATTTGACATTGTTGAATAAAATTATCAACTATGTTATTTCTAGATGTCCAATTATTGAAAAGACTCTGTAAATGTAAACTAATGCAACCTTCACAGAATTTATCAGAGTATCTTGTCAATTTACACTTGTTACATTCTTTTGGCTTGTATGATTCATCACTTGTATTGCTTAATTCAAAGTCATAAATAAACTCTTCTTTACAATATTCTTTGTCATTTTCAGAAAGCTCCTTGTTTTTTTCAACCAATGAAAAAAAATAATCTTTTCTACTTTCTATACCAGAATTAATTATAGCATTATTCTTCTCCATTTCATGATAAATTTTAAATACAAATTCATCTCTTTCTGGTGATAATTTATTATATTTATATGACATTATATAAAAATTATAAATTCAAAATTTGACTTGATTAATTTATTGAAAGATTGAGAGGACAATTGAGAATAAACTATTTATTTATGTTTACTATATAAAATTTGACATAGAATTCATTTATATCCAAAAATTTAATGACTGTAATAGTTCTTTTTCGTTCTTAATTGTGAATATGTAATGTAGTACTGTAATACGAAATTTATTTCGCGTAACGCGTTAAATTAAAACGAAACGTTACTGTGAAACTTTACTTATATTATTGTTATATTACTTATATTATTTTCTTTATGTATATGAGTTATAAATTAAATGCTGCAGCTTTCGGGGAGGTTCTAAGATATTATTATTATGATTGATAATAATTTATTTATTTAATTGTAATATTATATTATGCATTTTTTGTATAAAAAGATAAGCTTTCCGTGATAACTTGTATTTTTAATAATAATTAAAACAATTAGTATTTTGACGTAAGGAAAAAGGGTTTCCTTACAATAACCATGAAGTAATCTATTACATACAATAATAGGCAAGGGAATAAACTAATATAGATTTCATGATATTATTTATTAACTTTATAATTTTAATAATAATAAGAAGCAGTCAGTAGAGATTCTGTACAACTTTCAATTTCGTACACTTTTTATTTTTTAATTTTTGTATGGAATTTGTGAATTCTGAAAAGTTGATTGATGGGAGCCAGTCTGTACGATCTTCAATTCCATATTTTGCTCCATACAGAGCATGATTTACTACAGAGATGCATGCAGATGTATGGAATATGGAACCTGTATAGACTCAAAAAGAAGACATAGTAAATCATTTATATACAAAAGTTATTAATTTAACAATTTACTATTAATTTTAACATGCATCATTAATAATAATAGGAAAAGGAAAGCAAAGAGCAAGTCCTAGTTGAAGACTTACTCCTAGCACTTCCTTTGAATCTTCTAAATTTATTTGTTTTACTAGTAGGAAGTTGAATGGATTCTAAAGAAGATTAAATGACAGGTTAGTAAACTCAAACAACTTTACCATTAGTGAAAATTTATTGAATTGGTATGATAACTTTATCATTATAATTTGCAATTATTGATTTTTTTTGTAGGCTCATAAAGTAGTTAAAAATACACATAATATATAATTTTGGAAGTTGTATGGCCATTTAATAAAGTTCTCACCAAGTTTCCTTTCATAAAAATTTTTTTATTTTTTCAATGAAAAGATCTGCATAAAATTTAGCCAGTCATTTTTGTTTTGATGGTTTTTCTAGAGTATTTTTATGATGTATATATTAAATAAGATTTGTTGATCAACCAATATCAGTCAGTCATCTGTCAAAAATAAATTGTTTTTCCAAAAAAAAAAAATCAATTTGCTAAGTGCCAATAATAAACATTTTTTTTAATACATGTACTTTTTCTTTTTTTTCTTTTTCAAGAAATTAAAAAATTAAAAATGCCAAGAAAAGATAAAAGAAGAGAAGATAACACTGGTGTGGTTCATGGGTAAGTATTTATCATAAGAATGGTGGTTATTGGCACTTGTTGTCACTCTAGTTTAAATTAAAATAATTGATTTATATATTCTTTTCATGTACATTCTTATAAAAATATTGAGGAGCCCAACTATTGTTAAAGTTATCTTTTTTCAAAAATAGTTTGGACTGAAAACCATACCCAACACCCTCACTAACATCCATGATGTCCTTCATCAGTATGCTATCTCTCATATGTAGTGGGCTACTCTTGAGAAAGTTGTTGAATTCCTTAACCATTCAAAGACCTTACCCTAAAGATATCAACCAGCTTGTATAGTACGCTTACCTTATCATCCCTCTCTTCAATATTATTATTGATCATGTTGAAGATACAGCAGATTTAAGTGAAGATGAAGTGACTGCAAAAACCCAGATAGGTTAGTACAATATTATTCAAAGATAAATACATTAATGGAAGTTATTGAGAAAGATTATTCTAACATTCTAAATTTTAACATTTATTTAATTCTGAATTTGAAATCATTTGTTCATTTTAACAAGAACTTGTAATTATTCTTAAAGCAAGGTTTTGTTTATTTTTAAGGAATACACCCACGTTTAGGAGATTCACCCACATTTAGGCAATTGTTGAATTTCACCAATCCTTCTTTAGGAAAAGGGTAGTATTTGGACTCATAAGTCTATCCAATTTATCAAGACCTCCATATGATTTAAGAGCTCATTTTGAAAATGTATGGGTTTTAATCAGAACAAATTAAGAATTTTCAGAACCTTAAACATGTATAAATAATGTTGTAATTTTCTTAACTTCATGTATAATCATAAAAATCAATAATTCATATTAGAATCATTTAATTAATAAAAAAACTGTCCTTATCCTTAACCTTGCTCTTGTTTTTGTAATGATAATAAACCTATCTCTAACAACGAATTCATAATAAATTGGAAGTATACATGCAGCCAAATTGGTTTGGTGATTTTGATGATCAAAATTATTCCACTTTTGATGGTAGAAATAAATTATCATCATCAAAACTTGGACACAGTCTCACATTAGACCTAGGTAGGGTGACAGAATTTATTGATATTAAAGAGATTCTGCAGGGTAAACAGTCATTATTGCAGAATCAAATGAAAGATGAGAATGGTGAAAAAAAGGCATTTGAATTTGGTGTAATTCACTAGAACCATTGGATAAATATTTACCAAAGGTTCAATTGGAGATGTCAAATTATTGATAACCTCACAACTTCACAAAATGTATTGAGGTACAAGTCAAATGACTCATTCTTTCTTTTCATCAAGGGAAATGAAAATGTAAGCAATATGTGAAGCCTTACAAGAGGCCATCAATAACTTGTGAAGGTACTATTTTTATCCTACCCATTGTATACAGTAGAAAGAACATATGCAAAGTTTGAAAAATAAGTTTTAGACTGTGTAATATGTATAGCAGGCTGAACAGATCAAAAGGTTAAGTAAATGTCACAATTAATTGAAGCAACGTTTTAGTAAAATTGTGTTATACCACAATTTTATAATTAAAAACATCACAATTAATAAAGCATATGCCATAATTAATTGAAACAAATGCTATAATCAATTGAGACATTGTTACGATTATTTGAAAGTAAATACCTTCATCTCAAAAAAAAATTTATTCATGATTCACATTTTTTTATTGTTCATAAATTTTTCCAAAAAAAAAAAAAAAAAAATCTAGATGAATTTATAAATATTAGAAGATTGGTTTTTGAAGAATGTTCACACATAGACTATGACAATAATGCAAGGTCATGTATGTGTCAAAAACATGATTGGAATTTAATGGATATTACTGACAAAAATTGTTTTGCTTGTAAACATTCATATGCTTTTCACAAAAATATACAAAAAATAATGAATTTTCACTTAAAAACTCAAGAGCAAATTCACGTCAATCAGATGACCTTGTAAATGAATTAAGAACTTCATTTGGGAATGTTGCTAATAGCAGCATAATGGACATTCGTTTATCACATTGTGATTTTGATTTCATTGGCCAAATTTTATGACGATCACCCTCCAAACAATCACACAAAAATCAAATTTTATTGGCTTGAAGATCTTTTACAAAAACAAAATTTTAAAGGTTGAAACTAAAAATAGTATTTTATTACCTTGAGTTGAATTTTATTAATAAAAAAGAGTATATATAAATTATAAATATTAATTTAAAATTATTACATAAAAATTATTTAATAAATATTATCTCTTTTACAACAATCAAAATTCCTATTATTATTAAAAAATGTCTCAAAATATAAATTATTGTCAAGTTTTGGATTGTGAGTCAAACAAAGATATCAGAACATTTACACCTGGTGCCAAAAAAAAATCTGAAGAAAAAGAGACACTAACTATGTATAATTATCTAAATATTGGTGATAAAATATGTCTTAACATTATTTAATGATTGCAGAGCCAGACAGGAATGTTAAAAAAAAAAATATCAAATTTTTACCAAACTAATTTATCTGATTTATTAAAAAATAAAAATGATAATTCTTCAAATAATTTTGAAAATTGCTCAGATATAAAAGTTGATATGGCAAATGATAAACCAAATTTAACAAAAGATAATTTTGATCTTTTATTGCAGAAAATATCTAATATGGAGTCAGAATTGAATGTTTATAGAAATAATCAAATTAGTAAATCTAATAAATTCAGTTATAAAATTAAAATTTTATCTGATTCTTTATTTTATCTTCAAAGGGATTTTAATTCAAATCTTGGATTAAATCCAGATAAATTTAAAATAATGATCGAAAAATATCAACCTATATTAATTGGATTTTTTGATGAATTAATTGAAATGTTTGTGCCAACTAATAGATCTGAATTTAATAAGGAGAATGCTAAAAAAATGTTGTTGTATTTTGTTACTTGTTAGCTGGTTTGAGAAATAAGTTTATTAATTCTTTACAACTTGAAATTGGATTATACTTATCATCATCTGGAGCAACAGTTGAATCAATAGACATATTGTCAAAAATGGTATATCAGTAAGTCACAAGACTGTAGAAATATTTAAACAAAAATTTGAAACTGATCACCCTAATAAAATTAATGACTATTTATTATATAATGTAATTAATAATTTAATATATGTATAAATTATTAAATATAATTTTTAAATATTACTAATACTTTTGTGTATTTATAGTCAGGAAAATTATTTTGTTTTAACTTGGATGATTATCATTCAATTCACTCTTTCAGAGCACCAAATACTACAACATTATCAACTGCCCATCATATGGCAACATGCACAGTTAAAACTATTGAAGATAGTGAAAGGATATTAATCATTAATAATGGAGTTCATATAAATAACCCAAAAAATATAGAGGCCTTAAGAATTATAAAATACCTACACAATGAACATATTTATTATTTAGAGGACAGTTATAATATTAGAAAGTCATGTTGGTTACAAAACAAAAAAAATTTGTTTGATTGTTTTAATAGAATAGAGCTTTTAACAGTTCATTATTATGATTATGCTATTGAACAAAGAAAAAATGATAGATCAATGAAAAATATACATATAATTAACATCAAAGAACAAAATCTTAAAAGTTTAGATGATTACCTTGAAGCTTTAAAAATGATAACAAGTATTCCTACATTGAATGAATATCTTCAACATTATGTGATTCCTATTGTTGCAGATTTTCCTGGGCAGTTATTTATTCGAAGAGCTGTATCATTATATCAAAAATCAATGAATGATTCTCCAAATAATTTGAAGATCCCCAAAATTATTAATAGCTTTATTCCTCTTCTTGGACCATTACATGTCTCTTTAAATATGAGGGAGTCAACAATTTCAACTCATTGGAATTTTTTTGAACAACTATATAAATTTGTTTTTGGAAAAAATAAAAAATTAGCAAAAAATAAAATACCTACACAATGAACATATTTATTATTTAGAGGACAGTTATAATATTAGAAAGTCATGTTGGTTACAAAACAAAAAAAATTTGTTTGATTGTTTTAATAGAATAGAGCTTTTAACAGTTCATTATTATGATTATGCTATTGAACAAAGAAAAAATGATAGATCAATGAAAAATACACATATAATTAACATCAAAGAACAAAATCTTAAAAGTTTAGATGATTACCTTGAAGCTTTAAAAATGATAACAAGTATTCCTACATTGAATGAATATCTTCAACATTATGTGATTCCTATTGTTGC